TTTATGTAGAGCTGAGAATGCAGATGAGCACTCAGAACAATTGTTATGGTTGCCACTTTTCTTCAGAATAGCTAAGTCTGCTAGACAAAAAATATAAGTCACAGTCTAAAGGTAATGCTTAAATTTGGAGACCCTAAAACACTGTATAAATTGTAGGCTTAAGGTACACAGCCCTACTGTACAGTGTGGTGAAAAGCAGTCTTCTCCCCTTTCTGGAATACCCATTTTTAAAGAAAGGTAGAACTAAAATGCTTAATAAGAAAAATAAAAGAAAATAAATTAAAAAAAAAAATTAAAAATACAGAAGGCAAACAGTTCTTCAAAAACACAGAAAAGAAGTCGGTCTTCTATCAAAAAACAGACCCTGCAGGCATCAACTGCATTTGATTTTGATGACAAAGAGAAGCCTGAAGAATGGTAATGAACATTTTGAAAGTTATGTCTCTGCAAAACAAACAAGACACAGAACACATCCTGAGAAAACTGTTGTTCAAAAATTGTACTTGTTATTTTGTGTGCATAAAGCACACGCACCTGCAGTCTTCCTGCTGTCACTGGATGTGGATTTTGAGGACAAAGACAATTTTAGAATTTCCTACTCCTGCAGCACAGCTCCCTCCTCTCTTCCCGCAGCTGGGCTGACAAAACTGCTTGTGGGACTGCACTAATTGTTGCTAGCAGGGACACAGTGAGTTCTCATACAGGAATGGGAATAAGTAATGGGAGGGGTAGGAATTTCTGCCATCAAAGCCAGCATTTCTTAAAATGACATCCTCACATCGAGACCTTTGCATGTTCAAAAACTTGCTTTGTTCACAGCACATTTTCCTAGCATTTTTGGTGAAAAAAAGACATTCATATACAGCCCTTTTACTTCTCCTAAACGGTAGTGGGGAAAATACTTTCTTTTAAATTTTCCTTTGGATTAATTTTACAATCTACCATGGGTTCTCCAGTTCTTAAGAAATCTATTTCTCACTTCTAATCTTATGAATGTTATTAGTATATGAAAAAAAAAAGAAAGCATCAAATTAAATACAAAAAAAGCATTTAATGCTAACATGCTGTACATTCTTCAGTGACAAATTTTGCTACTCTTTTAAAATAATATCGTTACTTTGATGAGAACTAAAATACTGTTTCAAATTAATTTCTGATGGTGAAATTAAAATGTAAACTATGGTTGTCTTTGTCTTAATGAGGTTGACCTCATTTTGTATGTATTTGTAAATGTATTTGTTCTGTATTCTACAAAGACTTTAAGGACAAACTAGTTTGGGGCTTTTTTGCTGCATTCTTTCCACTGGTTAAAAATACATTAACCTTGGACTAAAGAGAGCTAATTCTGAACTTGAAGAAAAGAAAAATCACTGAAACTTCAAAAACTGAATGCAATTAGTATTTTCAGTCAGGTACCTTATAATGGAAGTTTTCGTCTTCAAATTTTTCACCATATATACTTTCTCCACCTGTGCCATTTTGGTTTGAGAAATCTCCACCCTGGACCATAAATTGCTTAATAACTGTAAAAGAAAATAATTATAAAATGTAGCAGCCAGGCAGGAACGCATGAAGATAAACAATTCAGAGGTGAAGAACAATCCCTGTCACCAGTACCTGTACCTAAATAAAACCAAAACCCACCTTTTATGTATCAGGTGTCCCCTAAGTACTCCTTTTCAATTAAGTGGACATCACTTCATATTTAATCCTTTGCCTGAAATCCATTTCAATCTATTCATAACTCACAGTAAACTAATTTTACTACTACTAACTTACCAGTAAACTTATAATTTACTGTTGTCATTGCATGGTAAGAACATCTAGTCATTAGAGAATCAAAGTGTCAAAAGCTTACTTTCAGTCAAGCTATTTCTTAAACAAGTGCTCCAAAATATTATTTAACATTATTTCAAATACTGATAACAGAGGATTTCTGTTACCGACAAGAGAAAACAGAGGATTTCATAGAACTTACTCCTGTGAAAAGGACATCCTTTATAGTGGAGAGGTTTTCCAGTGGTAGGCCCTGTTCCTTTCTCCCCTGTACATAACGCACGGAAATTTTCAGCAGTTTTAGGTACAACGTCAGCAAATAATTCAAAGACAATGCGTCCAACTGAAATGACAGAAAATGAGACACATTTTTAAGTCCCGTCCTTGGCATGATGAGCATTACAAGGCAAAAGTTTCAGACTTGATTATTTTTATTTAGATTACTGTAAGATTTACATTTTGGAGTTGTTTCATGGCAATCACTGGCAAGAGTTACATCAGGTTTTTAGCAAGGTCATTATGAACAATGAATTCTACTGTCAAGAATAATTTATGGGGAATAAAGACAGATTCTGCCAAAAATTACCAAAACTACCAAAGGCATTTCCTGCCAAAAAAATATGTGGGGGAAATCACGGACATATATAAGAAAACCAAATCATGTACTTTAACATGCATACTTACTTTATGTCTATTTTAACATATATCCGTGGCTCAAAACAGATACAATAAAAATTGTATACAATCAAATTGTATCAAAATAGATACAAGGTATGTATATCAAAACAGACACAATGTATCAAAATAGATACTATAAAAATAGACTTTTGTGGAGACTTTTATTTGATTAAAAAGCTTATGCCAAGCATATTCACCAGCCTCACTCCTCATTCTCTTAAACCCCAATTTTACTAAGGCACAGTAATACTTCACATGCATATGAATAATGGCTATTTACAGTTACGGACACTACAGGCAATCATGACATCCAAAAATGTACACGGTTTCAGTAAAGGGAGTGAAGCCTGAGTATCTAACAGATCCTGAAACAGTCGAGAAATGGGATTCTGCGTCAAATTCTCATATTGTCACAGACTGGTTTCTCAGCTATTTCTCACTCGTAGCAGCCGCCATCAGTGGATGCTCCTGTTTTCTCATCAGCCTCACAGTCAATTAGTTAATGTAACTTCACCCTACCGGAAGCTAAATGTAAATATATTAATTCTAATTAGCAGAGGAATGAAAACAAATTAGACGACTGGAAGTCAATAAAAGGCAAATCGTCTTACTGACTTTCTTCCTTTATTCTCTCGAGTAGCAGAATGAATAAACGAGAGGCAGCATCTCGACAAAAGGGCAGCGTCCATCCTCACCCACGCACTTTTCGAAAACCTACGCTTCCAAGTATTACCCCAGCTACCACGCTGTTGCTTTCTTATCTCCATTTTGACCGTCGGCCCCGATTTTCGAACGACCCCTGGCAGCGCGGGCGACGCCGCCAAGAGAGATGTTTGCCGGAGGGCCGGGGCCGGGGCGCGGGGGCCCGGGCAGGCCGCACCGGGGGGCCGGGGCGCGGGGGCCCGGGCAGGCCGCACCGGAGGGCCGGGGCGCGGGGGCCCGGGCAGGCCGCACCGGGGGGCCGCCGCCGCGGGGCCCTGCGCCAGCCGGCCGGGCGCGGCTGCGAAGGGACCGCGCCGCTGGGGGTGGCGGAGGGCGGCGGGAAGCCCCGTCGGCGGAGCCCAGCCACCGGAGCCCAGCCGTCTCGCCCCGTCGAGAACGTTCCGCCCCGCGGCCTGGCCCGGCCGTGAGCCGCCCCGCTCCCCGCAGCCCGGCCCGGCCCCCCCCCCCCCCCCCCCCCCCCCCCCCCCCGCCCCGCACAGGGGTGTCCCGGCCGCCCCCTCCCCGGCCTCGGCCCGGGCCCCTTCCCGCCCCCCTCCCCACCTCGCTCGCCCCCGATGTCCACATCGAAGAAGACGCGGGGGTTGCAGGGCTTGCCGGGCCGGGCGAGAGGGGACGGGTGCGACATCGCGCCGCTGTCCCGCTGGCTCCGCCTGCTCGGCCGCCCGCGATTCCGGGCGCCGCGGGGTCGGGGCCGCTTCCCCGCTCCTCCCACCGGCGGGGGCGGGCGGGCCAGGGGAAGGGGAAGGGGAAGGGGAAGGGAAAAGGGAAGGGAAGGGAAGGGAAGGGAAGGGAAGGGAAGGGAAGGGAAGGGAAGGGAAGGGAAGGGAAGGGAAGGGAAGGGAAGGGAAGGGAAGGGAAGGGAAGGGAAGGGAAGGGAAGGGAAGGGATAAAGGGAAGGGGAAGGGATAAAGGGAAGGGGAAGGAAAAAGGGAAGGGAAGGGAAAAAGGGAAGGGAAGGGAAAAAGGGAAGGGAAAAAAAGGAAGGGGGAGGAAAAAGGGAAGGAGAAGGAAAAAGGGAAGGGAAAGGAAAAAGGGAAGGGAAAGGAAAGGAAAAAGGGAAGGGAAAGGAAAAAGGGAAGGGAAAGGAAAAGAGAAGGGAAGGGAAGGGAAGGGAAGGGAAGGGAAGGGAAGGGAAGGGAAGGGAAGGGAAAAAGGGAAGGGGAAGAAAAAGGGAAGGGAAGGGAAGGGAAGGGAAAAAAGGAAGGGGGAGGAAAAAGGGAAGGAGAAGGAAAAAGGGAAGGGAAAGGAAAAAGGGAAGGGAAAGGAAAGGAAAAAGGGAAGGGAAAGGAAAAAGGGAAGGGAAAGGAAAAGAGAAGGGAAGGGAAGGGAAGGGAAGGGAAGGGAAGGGAAGGGAAGGGAAGGGAAGGGAAGGGAAGGGAAGGGAAGGGAAGGGAAGGGAAGGGAAGGGAAGGGAAGGGAAGGGAAGGGGAAAAGGGAAGGGGAAGAAAAAGGGAAGGGAAGGGAAGGGAAAAAAGGAAGGGGGAGGAAAAAGGGAAGGAGAAGGAAAAAGGGAAGGGAAAGGAAAAGGGAAGGGAAAGGAAAAAGGGAAGGGAAAGGAAAGGAAAAAGGGAAGGGAAAGGAAAAAGGGAAGGGAAAGGAAAAGGGAAGGGAAGGGAAGGGAAGGGAAGAGAAGGGAAGGGAAGGGAAGGAAGGGAAGGGAAGGGAAGGGAAGGGAAGGGAAGGGGAAGGGAAGGGGAAGGGGAAGGGGAAGGGGAAGGGGAAGGGGAAGGGGAAGGGGAAGGGGAAGGGGAAGGGGAAGGGGAAGGGGAAGGGGAAGGGGAAGGGGAAGGGGAAGGGGAAGGGGAGCTGTCGGGCCCCCTGGAGAGGCACTGCGAAGAAAAAGCGTTTCTTTCTGGAGGATAAATAACGTGCAGAGAAGGCCTGGGAAGGCGGGTGAGGAGAGCGGGGTTTGATCTTGCCGGGGTTTATGTTTTATGAGAGAAATGCAGGCTCGGTGAAAAGCCGTGGCCCAGGAGAAAGTGGGCAAATTGTCAACGTAAATGTGGCACCGCATAAACGTTTGGAAACACTGAGTAACTCCAGTCTTCTTAAGGTGTGAAAACAAAACACGTTTCTTCCCAGAGTATGAATATTGCAATAATCGCTCCCAGGCAAACAATCTCTTTCAGCCACTTGGGTTGACCAAGGGACGTGAATGCCATCAGTAGACTTTGCTGGGGCTCCGGAAGGTGCAGAGTTCCCAAGCAGATGAATGGTCAACGTGGCCGCATCCTGCGCTCACTGGCATCGTGAAGGCAAGGTATGTGTTGAGGCAAAAGCAGAAGGGGCAGAAAGGTGCTGGGCTCTGACTTTTGCAAACTTACAGCCCTTCTGGGAATGCCGCTGATCAAATGAGCCTCTCTATTCCTAGGACTTCTCTAATCCATCCCAGAAGCCTCTAAATTCCTTCTTTGATTCACTGTATCCTCCAAAGGCTTTCAGCTCTAGTTCATGTCATCTTTATATGTTTGGACTTGAGCTTCATCAAGCTGGTTTTCATCTCTCTCTCAGTATGTTCTCAATATTAGATGTGTCAGAGGGCACTTGTAATTCCCACGCTGAAAGAAAAGATAAAGTAGCATTGACATTAATAATACTGCAGTCCATATACTGCATTGTGATCGTCCCACAGTCTCTGTACAGATGTCGGATAGAAGAGATGATCAGCACTGGGCGCTGTTGTATATTGCATCTGGGAACCCTTAACAGAAGGAAAAACCATCTGGTATCATCTGGGAACACTTAGTGAGGAATCAGTGGAAGCACGCTAAGGCATTTCTCTCTCTGAGCCAGGTCATGCAGCTGTGTCAGGGATTTCGCATGCTCCACAATGTCAAAGGACTCCAAAGCTCTGAGTCATCTGTAAGTCACCAGGCATCTGGCCACGGTCACTGGCTGAGATATTTTTATCATCATGCTTAGCATAGGTGAGGTGAAGTGATGTAGGAGAAGTGATCTCAGCGAGGCAGTTGCTAGCCAAGTGAGTATGGTCTAGAGGAGATTTCTTTAGCAGACATCAGAGTAAAGTGTGTTTTGTTGGTGTGTGTCCCCCGCAAGAGCTGTTGGCAGCTTCCTCTCAGGAAGAAGCCGTGATTCATTCTTCCAGGAGCAGATGTATGCAGTCCCTGCAGTTTTTTTCCTGGCCAAGTTGGAATAGTCTCGATTCTAGATTAGTAATTCGTATTACAGTAGTTGCTCGGAAGTCCCTATGCACAAGGTACTTTAAAGGGACAAAGAAAAAGGCAATCCCTGTGCTAATTTGGAGGTGTGAGCTGAACAAGAGAGAAATGAAGCAACTTTCTCAGTGTCTGTAGGAGATTCTGGAAAATATGTGAGCTGAATGAATGTCTCCCCAGCACTGCAGTAATGTAATTACTATACAGATTAATTTATAGTCACTGAGAGATTGTAAACAACAAGTATAGCGTGACTTCTGTCGAGAATTTACTGATGGATTTTAGGTTCAAATTAATACATTAAGTTATGCATTAAACTGATAGATAAATAATCTCTTTCAGACTCACTTTATAAAGTCCTGTAAGATCTGTTTTCAAGCAGTGTAATTGCCTCTGTGATCCTCTGATGCTTTGTGATCTTGTAATTTAAAAATACTTCCTATTACCAGAGTATTTCATATTTAGACACTTCCAACTGTTACGTAGTAAATACTTGTAAGGCAGTACATAGAAAATAGGCACTATAACTGATTTATCTATTAGATGGTTTAGTTCAGATATTTATTTTTCTGCACATACGGCTTTGGCTACCCAGTAAAATTAGTTTGAGTATTATCATTAGATAAACACGTGTTGAGGGTGCTAAAAACTTGAAGCTGTTAGCAAGTATAACACTCCAGCCTAACTGAACTCAAAGGGCAGTCAGAGAAGGGGATGTGGATCTTACATGTCCAGCCAGTTTTAAAATTATAATTTTAACTTCTTCTTCCCACCCTGACTAAAGAAGCTATCATTGACTAGTGCATAGAAATGCAGATAGCATTATGAAACTCGTACTCTTGAGGGAAGACGCAGTAAGCACATTTATTTCATAATCATTCTAGCCTGTCAAATAGCACGCATGAAGGAACAACTGTAAAATAAAGATTATTTATAATTGTTGCTGGTTGTGTAAAATGGGCAACTATGTACACATTCAGACTAGGATTTTTTGCCTTTTGCTTAATTTTCTTGCTCTTTTTTTTCACCTCTAAATATGTATTTGACACTGTGAAGAAAATAGAAGCTTAAACATGTTCATTCCACCAGAAGGCGAGTGCTTTGGCTCAGTGCAGAACTGCCTTGTCTAAGGATATTAAAAGCCATTTTGGTTTGTATAGCAGCGATCGTATGTTTGTGGGTTTTTTTCACTGGACTGAATTGTAGCTTCAGAATATGGTCCAGCGGAATACTGATGGGATCCATCTGACAAGCGACTGAAACACATACCTCACCAGCTTTTCAGAACAGCTATCAAGAAGCTTCCAATATGCAGTTTTTTGGTAAGGATGCTTTCACTGCTTGCTGCGAAATCCAGCAGCCACTCAGCCTCTCCTGTGCCGTGTGACACACAGGGTGCATCATGTGCCATTCCCATGTGACCTGGCACGTCAAGCATGTCACCTTCCTGAGAGAGACATGAGACAGGAGAGAGATTAATAAATCTGTTTTCTCATCATCAGGTTTATTGTTTCCCATCTGCACCAAGTCTTTTTCTGCATAAAGCTGAATAAAAAGGTCCCAGATGAAACCCATACTGAGCAGATCCCTCTAAGCTGAATTAAAATGCATTGTTAAACAATGAAAGAACCATATGTTCTTGTCTCGGGATGTTTTAAAAAGAAAATTGTCTACACAGAACTGACATAATATGACAGAAATTGAAAGAAAAGTCATGCATTTACTCATCACTAACTTTCAGATACGCCGATCCCTAAAGAAATGGTTTAGCTAAGAACCAAGCAAAAATAAACAGATGTTTTAGCTATATATTTTAGCTCTGCTTGGAACATGTTATAGAGGCAAATAACCAGAGCAGCATTTAGGATGTCAGGACATGAGGAGGCATGGCAGAGAGTGCCTATGACTTCTGATAACAGTACAAGCCGTTGCCTGCAAGGAGAGGCCCAAAGCATATGAGGTAGCTGCTGGCAGCTGCTGCCACAGTGCTGATGTGGAATACTGGCTTTGTTGCTAAATCCTGGCTTCCATTTTTGATACAAATGTATGCCCTGTATATTACTGCAATTTTATGTAAATATATAATGCTGTTTATCATATTTATCACCAAAAGGTATTAAAATATCAATTCTGGTGACTGTATTATTTTTTATGTAGAAAGCCTTTTTGGTCTGCATCTACTGTGGGTAGGATGGAGTCCAAGGTGAACTACGTCAGCATGGATTTAAAGACAAGATCGCCACCAGCAAATAGTAAGTTCCGAAACAGATTTTGCCATTGAAAATCTGACTCATGAGGATTTCCAGCTAGGCTTTGGATGGAGTCCTGGGAGGGAGGCTTAGAAGTACAATCTACCAGTGGTAACAGCTCTGTTGTAGAGAGGAACCAAGCCAGGTTCTAAACAAGTGTTTGAACATTCACAGGTACGTACATCTTCGGGCTCTTTTGGAGGAAAAAGTAGTGTACCTTTGCTTTAGGAAATTTGACAAGACACATAAGTAACAGTAGTGATTTCAGAGGATTGTAAATGCCTGTTACCTTCACACAATCCAATTCTCACCATATTACTTGATATTTATATTGTGGTGATTAAAGGAAGGTATCACGTATCTGGCCTTTCTATTTTTAACACCAAAGACTATTGAAAACTAGAAGTTTTGTTACATATGTCAATACTTCCTAGCAATATTGAAACAGTTATCTTAAATTAGTATTTCCCTTTAAACTGCCTTTTGTTTCAGACTGACTGTACCCTCTGTAAAAAGACAGTGAAACTGCTTAGCTATATTAAAGCAGCACCTTTGTGGCACTGTTCTGGGGCTGAGAAAAGTTGCTGCAGCAACAGCGCAAGTTATGTAATGCTCTGTTCAATGAAGGATGAGTAAGCTGGTTTGCAGGGGGCTGCAATCCCGAGATCTTAATTTCTGTCGTTTTCTGTCCCTGCTTGCAAAGTGGAATAGATTTTGTAATAGGTTTTAAAATTCTCTGTGGAGAGTAATTTAGACTTACTGTGATGAGTAGTATTAATAACAATATGGAGAGAGAATAATACTAGACATTTCTTGACATCACATTTTACTTGGCATGTTTGAAGTGTCAGTAAAAATCAGATTCTGTTTATTTTACAGAATCCAAAATATTGCTGAAGCATTGCAAAGTGTAGCCAGACTTATCCGCTTTCATGTAACTTATACAGCATGTGTCACCACACTGAGCAGTAAGTCATTAACAAACTTTTTGTTAAATCTTTAGAATTTACCCGTTCTTGCCTCTGTCTTCTGTTTGTGGTTCCTCCAAAGCCTAGCTCTGACAGCAGAGGTTTAGGAGCATTTTGGATTTGTGCGTTCAGGGCTGAGTGGTGCAGAAGGGAAGCAGCCGTAACGGAACTGAAAGTTTCATCCAGGTCTAAGTGACGGGGAGGCAACTTGTGACCTGGGAGACTTGGCTTTTAACCCAACCTGTCCTGGCTATGAAATCCAGTTCCTCCATTCTCAGGAGAGAATCTTCAGAGATATTTATGCTCTATGAAACACAGAAATACTTATGTAAGCATTCAGCTATTCCAGGATTTGAATGATCCTTTTTATATATTGGCAACTTTCTAACAAAGTCCCATCTATTTCTACATCAAGAATCTGGCTCCTTTTCTGACTCAAGTTTCATTAATTACACTGTCTTTCTCTGCACATGGAGTCTGGCCCTTAGTCAGAATATTAAGAGTAAGGTTTTAATTCTCATATGCCACATTTTTATTTCCTATATTTCGTAGAAAAGTTAGGGCTCTAGGCACACACTACCTCTGCTTAACAAACGGCATGTCTTGTTTCTTTACATCTGCTCATATTTTGCACTCATCAGTTAGTGAAACATCACCGTATCTGCTTTGCCAGGTGCTCTTTGTAGCCAAACTCTGTTTGAGGTGGGACGGTGCGTACTGACTGTGAAAGTTATTTTGTAGTCCTTTGCTGATTCTGCTGTGTTTTCCCTGTTATTTTTTTTTTTTCAGAAATAACCTTCAGAACACTAGCGTCTTAATGTTTTGTTACCAATTTCAAACCATAGTGACTGTCACACACGTTAACGGAGAATATCAAGAACTAATTTTGCACTGAGCATCAGCCAACACGTAGGGTGCATTTACGCTGCCATTTTTGCTCAGATCAGAAGAGCGTTTCTGAAGTCGGCATCCCGGTTGTCCTGACTTTGTCTTGCTTCACATTTTGGAGTGGCATCTGGGCGTACAAAGTGTATCACTTTCAGAAGAAACTAAACCAGATGTTCTCCAGAAACACATTCAGTGTGCCCTGACCACTGACACTCATTCTGCTGTTCAGCACCAGATTACAACTAGTCCGAAATAAAACCCTGTAAAATGTTCGTGGTGTGAACATTGGGCTCTGTAAGACAACTGGTTTAATCTACGATTCTGCCCCCACTGGTCAGCGCTACTTGCTAACGCAGACGTACCACAGAGTGGCAGCCATGGTGTTTGCATCTTTAAGTTTCTCAGGACTGTCCCTTGAGGAATACAGTCCGGTGCTTATTTCTGGAGCTGGATGCCTAGATTCTCATTCACACTGATTGCTAGGTCAACTATGAGGTCTTTCATCTCGTCCAGCCACACCCTGCTATTCATTTCCCTTTCAGTATTTACTGTCATCACTGTGCCCTCACTTTTCTGTCCTTCAGCTCTGGTTGAGTGGATTGACCTTAATGACTGGGGGCATTTGGTGAGGGTGGTGGAAGTAAAGAATCAAAAGCGGTAAGAACATCCAGGCCGAAAGATTTACGCTGGGTATTCGGTCTCGCAGATGAAGTGGTTCAGAGCCTTCAAAATGGTGATTCCTTCTGGGAACGGACCTCCAGACAGGCTCAGCTGGGCATTACAAGATTCAAGCTGGTGTTACAGAGGGAGCGGCTGATCAGATCTTCAGGCCAGTAGACAGTCATCTCTTGATTTTTATTTTAAAAAGAAATCATCTCCTCCAGCCACTGAAAAGCTCGCTCTGAAGCACCAGCATGTCCTCCACCTCTTCTGCCACTACTGGATGTTGAGTTTGCTGTCAACTTCTGTAATGAGCCATTACAACTATTGTAACGATCGCCATTAAAAGAGCAGGAAGGTATCATGATTCTGCCTTTTTTTTTTTTTTTTTTTTTACTTCCCCTTGCTGCACCCAACAGCCCTTTCTCCCAAATTTAACAAACAGAAAGATCTAAGTCACCCCCAAATACTGTGGCGTTATCTAATTATGTTGTGAATTAAATAGATCAACTGAAGAGCAGTGAGTGAAAATAGGCACCGTCCCAGCAGAGGTGCCTTCCTGCCCAAATGTTCTAGCTTGCCTGCTCAAAGATTGACATCAAAGTTCAGATTCTCGAAGGGAATCGCAGTTCTACAATTTTATGCCGGGGGTCTCTCCGTTACAGAGACTAGGGGGAAAAAAAAAAAAAAAAAAAAAAAAAAATCAGATTAAAACTTCCTGGGACCGGTGACCGGAATTTGTGTGGAGCAAAACGAGGCACGCGAGCTTCCCGAGAACCCGACGGATTTTTGTCGGGCCGTGGGCTCGGTCGGCGGGGGGGGCTGCGCCGCCGTCAGCCCACGCGGGGGCCGGCCCCGCTCGCGCGGGTGGGCGCGCTCTTCCCTCTCGCGCGGGCGCGGAAGAATGTCACTGGAAATCACAGGGCGTGACTCGCGTGGAGCGCCTGTACAGGGCCCGCGTACGTAAGTACGTAAGGTGTATGCACACCTATACCTTTAGGGTGAGAAGTGTATTGTAAAATATACGTTATAAATACATATGTACATGCGCATACTTGTTGCTATGGCTATGTAAACCGCGTGTATTACATGCGCACATACACCCGGGCACGTGTGTGCCCGCACAGCCCCACCCGGCTGCCCGCTCACACGCGGAGGCACACGCCACGCTACGCCAGGCCGCGCCACGCCCCGCGCCGGCGTCACCAACCGCCACGGCTCAGCGCGGGGCAGGGCCGTTGCCCCTTTAAGCCTGCCTCCGGCGCCTGACCACGTGCCGGGGGGGGGTGGGCGGGGCGGCGTCGGCCGCGCAGCCAATGGGGAACGCCGGAGGGGCGCGGCGCTTTCGCGTCTCAGTTCCCGTCGTGCGGCGGCTGGCGGCGCGTCGTGCCGAGCCGAGCCGAGCCGAGCCGAGCCGTGCCGAGCCGAGCCGAGCTGTGCCGAGCCGAGCCGAGCTGTGCCGAGCCGAGCCGGCGGCTGGCTGGCTGTCAGCGCCGCCGCGCAGGCGGGCTCGGCCCCTCCGGCACTTGGCGGGCGGCCGCCGGCAGCGGCGCGGCCCGAGTCTCCCCTCCGCCTCAGCCTCCGCGCGATGCTGGGCGGCTCCGCGGCGGCGGGGATGCTGCCGCGGCCGCCGCCGCTCGCCGCCCGCTGAGCCGCTGCTAGAGGCGCGGCGGCGGGGGGGCAGGGCGGCAGCATGGCCCCCACCCTGCTCCAGAAGCTCTTCAACAAAAGGGGCGGCGGCGCGGCGGCCCCCCACGGCCGGGCTCCGGGGGAGGGCCCCGCCTTCAGGTGAGCGGCGAGGGGCAGGGCGGGTCCCCGGGGGCTGCCCCGGCTGCCGGAGGGGTGGGGGGGGCTGGCGGGGGGCGACCCCGGCCGCCTGCTGAGGGGCCGCAGCGCTGTGGGGATCCCCCTCCGCCAAGTTTCCGCAAGGGCCGAGGGGAGGGGGCACCCCCGGGGAGGCTGGGGGGGACACCGCCGCGCCGGGGCTGGCTCTTCTCCCGCCTTTCCCTCTCGCTGGGTCTCAGCCATTTTATGGGCGAGGGGAGGCGGGGGGGCGCCCGGCCCCCTCTCGCCCTCCCACCCCCGGCAGCACCGAGAGAGAGGCGCCGGGGCCTTCCCTTTCCCTGCGGTTGTAGGGGGTTGCGGTGCCAGCTCGTGTTCAGCTCTCCCCAGCACAGGAAAATTAAAAAAAAAAAAAAAAAAAAAGGCATAATTGTCGTGACCTAAATACACGTGCAGGGTCTGGCGACCCACTGCGCGCTAGGTACCCTTCACGGCTCTCGCCGCTTGTGATATCGCGAAAGGTGAGATTTAGCAGCTATTGCTACTTCAGGGTTTGGATATGTAATCTTTATATAATATGGAATTATTGCTCTTTTCTAAACCCTCGGGGACTGAGTTTTGCTCTGGCTGGTGGTTTAGGGCTTTGTTACTTTCAGCATCTGGTCTGCTCACCAGACCAACCCCGGGCCCTGGTGAGCACAGTGACTATCACATGTGTGTCCGGTAAGCTCTGCGTCTTTTATTTTTTTTTTCTGTTCTGCATGAGTTGATTAGTCCTGTGATCAATTGGAATCTGGGCTTTCACTGCTGAAACTTACTGGGAATGGTAAGGGAAAGGGGTGGAAAATGTCTTGATCCACAAAGTGCCATAGTGCCAAGTATGAAAGATCACAGTCGTGGAGCCATTACGCTTTCAAAGATGGTCCGCGTGAGCCATGGCCATCTGCATGCTCAAGGTTGCAAGATCGTGGTGAAAAATGGAGTAGCTTCAAAATGGCTTTAGGATATTTGGGTTACGAGGCGATTCCTTTGGAAGTGGTAGGACACGGTACTGATGATGCGTTTGTATCAGAAAAATGGGGCTGGTGAATTTTGGGAAGCTGTAAAGTCTGTATGCTGTACTTGCTTGTTACTTTTTGTAGCAGTCATTGACCTTATGAATTAAATATCCCCTTTCATTTAAAAGAAAACAAATATGTTTTCCACATCTAAACTAAGTGACAATTCCTGCCTAACTCTGTTATTATGCCTTGTACTTAAAATCTTGTTAAGCACTCTGATACAGAGACCAATGCTGTTAGTTCTAGTTTTAAGGTTATTGGGTTCGTCACGGATCTCTGTGAAGGCAGATTGCTTGCGCAGTGTGTCCCCTATTACAATCTGTAAAATTGCTCCATCTGGAGTATTTTGTGAGGTTAGGGATTGCATTGGTTTTCTTATTACTGTTTCTTTGGCAGGTTATTCCACACTCACTTTTCAGTTTGAATAACATTTAAATGTTGTGACACTTGAAACAAAAACTGTTATCATTACAATACCATTGTATTTACCCATCACTTTTTATCCCCTATTTTCCCCCCATCCCTTGCTTACTGATTAATTTTTTTGGCAAACTGAAGGTTAATAAAGTTATCTGAACCATTTTGCATGGAGGGGGAGAGGGGGTGTTGCCTGTTAATTAAGCTTCTTCCTTATGACTTCTAAATGTTCTGAAATGCTTTGTCTTTCTAGTGATCTGTTGATGACCTGCAGGAGCATACTTACGGGTCTTAGAAGCTTTCTTGTGATGTTTTTGATAGACTTTCTGTTGAACAGTAATCTCAGTTTGAATGGAGAGATGGGATTGGACTGAAGTAAAAGGAAAGACTTAATCTTTTGGTATCTACTGTATTAAGTGTATGTTGCTGGTCACTGTTAGAAGCAAAGTGGCAGGATCACTTTCTGTTCTACTAGCAAGCAGATATTTTTAAGGATTTCAGTTTTATTCCCTCTTTGTGTATTGGTTGGTGAGGTCCCTCCACATTCAGTATGTCTTCTGTGTGTAGTTCTCTTAAGTGGTTCTGTAAGACCAATGACAATTTGTATCCTTGAACCTTAAATTGTTATGAAAGTCTTGAAAGCTTAAGTGTGTTCGTGTACCCTCTTTACGCAGAACAATATCAGAATCACCAAAAATCTCCTCAAATTAACTTGACAGCTTTTTTTAAGTACGTTGTTAGGAAGCTTTGCATTTTCTAGGCTTCCCAGGAATACCAGGAGAAGCTCTGTTGCAGAGGGCCCTCAACCAGGCTTGAGGTTTACCTGTAACAAGTGTGTGCTTGTTCTGTTGCCCCCTCTCCTTTAATGGGAGCTAAATCTTGACCAAGTGTCAGTGTTGCTTTCTCTCTTTGGCTCTGAAGAAAACAGCAAGTTACAAGGGCCATGCTGCCTACCAGAAGGAGCTGGCACAGCCTCAAAGAGAGACATGGTGCCTATAACCGACTGTGGAGCCGCAGGAAATGGTTACCTGGGTGCATGAGCATTAACATCTTAATTTGGATCAGGAGTGCCCTTTTAAAGAAACCCCTCAATTGTCTCCACGTGCAGCACTTTGGCTCACGTAGCCGAGTGGCTTTGGTGCATAAACTGGATTCCTGTTGGAATGAATGAAATTAGAATGTGTGCTCCAACCACTAATGGGCATTCAGTCCCTGGGATGAGGCTACAGCTGGTCAAAAGTTAAACCCCAGAACATGTATAGTGTGGGTGTCAAGTCCTTAGCACCAATTAATTCATTCAGTGGATCTAGGCCTCTTGGGCTGCACTACATGTTCATGTAAACACAACCCTTACTTGCTGGGTGAGGAGAAAGTAAATGTGAGGTGTAGATGTTAATATAGAGCTATTAGGAGAGTAGGACTTCCTGCTGGTCTGCACCTCCAAAATAATACAAGTATGAAGTGGTAGAAGGGTGGTAGTTAGAATTCTAGAATAACTTAATTCTTTTTTTAAAAAGGGAAATTATATACCAGCTGGAGAACAGATGGGTATTAGTGACATGATACTGTATTTGTTCTAAGCAGTATTGTACACAGATCTTCAGCTTCTGGTTTCTGTTACTACTGCTTTTTGCTTCCTTTAACGAAAAATATCTATAAATGTGTTTATGTATATATGTATATAGTGCATACATAAAAATATGTGTCTATACACATACCTTTCAACAGAGACATTTGGGTGGCTGTAATTCACCATATTTCTTTTCAGCCTCTAGCACACCGAGGAAATCTCATTTACTTTGTGTGTCAGAAATGTGTATTTATGTGGCTAAATTCCCCTAATTTCTTATTTCCTTATCAAATGTTACTTCCCTTACAAGATTGATTTAAAATAGTTTGTACAGGTCTTTGGAGAGCTACCAGGGTCATGTGCTCAGCAAAATGGTAGCTATTACTGCAAAAACAATGCATCCTACTCGCCATGATTTTTAAAGATTAAGCAGGGTGTTTTATAAGCACGTACTATCTCAAGACTAGAGCGTCTCAAGTGCTGAGCATATATTTGAATAAGATATTGGGGATGGCTTTAAGGAAATGGATATGCGTT